TTGCCCAGCCTATATATGGTAAAATGTGAGGTTCAGCAGTTGGTTTATGATAAATAGATGTTCGTAATTGTTTATTTGCACTCGTAATAGTGACATCGAGAAAATGAAAAGATGTGCTCATTGTAGGTTCAATTTTGATAGTATTATCTTTACGTCGTAGTTTTTCAAGTTTACCATTGATTTCTTCGTTGGTTTGATTTGTTGTCATAAAAATATTATCTACATATCTATACAAAAGAACAAACAACCGAATAAAAATTTGTTTATATTAGAAATATTTTACTAATCTTCGATAAAGGACCCTGTCTGATAAGATGGCCTATATAGAATTGAGAAACCAAATATACCATCTTGTAGAGAATTTCACGGCGCATCGAATGGTATATAATAAGTAGGTTTTCTAAATAGTTTGGGAAGAGTTATAATCAATTTACTGATAGAGGGTAGAGTCCAAAATGGTGATACATAGCTAATCAGTATAGTCCATATAAGTTAGTCAAAGGATATCGTAAAAATATATTCCTTACATACGATTGTGTAGAGCTTTTGACGGGCTACAAGTTTATATATCCAATATCTTTAATCACATAGTATTCAGAAGAAAAAAAAGATGGTTTGAGTGTGGGTGTGAGGTATGAGTATGGATGTGGGTGTGGATGTCATTAAAGAAGAGACCAACACCCACACCCTATTTTCCATACTTTTCTTTCATGAGTATAAATTTTGATTGGATTTTTTTTCTCATTTTTTGCCTTTAACTATTATCAATTATAGTTCCAATGACAAAATCAATTGTAAATAGAAAAATGGAATTTTATAATAAAAAAAAATGATAGAAAAATAAAATGTCTATTTTTTATTATACGAGATCGGATATTATATCGTTGAAGTTCTTTCCTGAATTACTTGTAAATTAATAAGAGAAAATACAATTGATTCTAGCATTTCATCTATTCTAAATATTTTCAACATTAATGAAAAAATATTTTCGAATAAATTGATTTAAATGCTGAACTCAAGAAAACAGATTCACGAAAAATAAACAAAAACACACTATAATTAGTAAAGATAGTTTTACAATTGGAAAAAGACGCATAAATGTAAATAAAATCGAACGTTTCAATGACTTCATACTTGCTTAACACGTTGCAATGTCTATACTCTCTAGCATGATCAATTACTTAAGATTTGACAGTAGAACTGGACTAGCAATATAATATAACTGAGCATTCTTTGGATACACATGCAAAACTGAGATGTTGATGATCTAACCTATTTCGTTTGATTTGATCTACTCTGACCGATTGTGTAAAAGCTAGATCAGTTTCATCTTCGTAGACTAGAGATCGTGTCAATAGGATTTGTATAAACGAATTAACTCGTCTATTTCAATCTCGAAAAACGTCTTTCAATTGTGCAGTTATTCAAACAAGATTTTCTGTCAGTGACAAGAAAATCATCTCAGTATGATGGTGTACATTCCTGATATATTCTTACTCATTATCATTTTGTATAATTTGTTATTAATTAGCAGATCATAATACATATTCAAGCCAACTAATGAAGTCGTCCGGCAAAGTTGAATTCTGTTGTAATTGTTTTCCTTTCTAACTACCTGTCTTTCGAAAGATTTGCAAATATAAGATAGAATGAGCATACGAGACAAAACATCATTTCCTTATGTTTTGAGCTAAAGTATGCAATAAAAAATTGGTATGAAATCTAAACAAATTTTATAGAATTATTTTTGACAGATCTCTTAAAAAGTTATCTCATCATAATATAGTACAAAGAGTACCAAAAGTACTATCTTGAACTGATTGAATACCTTCTATTGAGATTAATACTCAAAAAGAACTTTCCATCGAACTTCCGTCCATTTCATGATACCATCATACATTCAAGAATTTACTTCAGTTGGTTGTAATAATCCAATGCAATGCTGATTTATTACTATACTGTTTTCAACCACTAATAATCGTCTTATTGTACGATCTGCAAGCCATTCAGCTTCATACATTTTTCCAAGTTGATCACTAAAATATTCGCAATGTGAAAAACATGTTTTTCTTCTCTCATCATCATCCAATTTGAATTCCTTGATAATATTTTCTCATGTATTTCGATTTGCGTCTGTCATTCAACCAGATATTTCAATATCATAACAAAATAGTTAACCTATGTAATTTCTTGTTTTATGGCTTGTTTCACAACATTTATTACTTCAACATCGAACATCGTAACTTGGTGTATTCAAAAATCTTTATGATCAAGTCAAAACAAGACGAATTTAGGTGACAATTCGATAAATGAAGATCTCATAAAACCTTGTGAAACTTGAAAATTGAAAAAGTTAAATCTGATTTTCAAATTTTAGAATAGATTGATTTAGTTTTTTGTATTGTAATTAATTTAAAAAAAACAAGAACTTTATGTCAAACATTTTCAGAAAAGTATATTCTCGATGACAACTGTTAAAAATAGTTTATTAATATTAATAGTTGATTTACAATGAAAATTCATTATTGAGTACTTGGGAATATTTTAATGGTAACATTTTTCCAAGAATTTTTTAATGTCTTTACAACACAGAAACAAACGTGCGTTATTTTTTTGCCTCTTGAATAAAATAGAACCACAAGGTAAATGTTGACATATACTTTATTCATGGTTTTACAACTCATCATTTTTATGAGTTGTAAAATTATTTTATAAATAATGTTTCATATGGTGTAAATATTGATTAAGTCATATGAGAAATTAGTTTTTGAACTATTGAAAATGTTACATGAATTTTAAATAAATCATTAGATGAGTTTTTGACATCAGAATAGTGACATGTCAGAGATATCTGTAATTTTGTTTTTGAATTATTCATTGCTGACAGAAGACATAAACATGACCTTTGATACAATGATAAATCGACTCTTGGACGAGATATACGGTAAGCAAAAAAAAAAGACTTTTTTATTCTTTCTTGGTGACATTTAGTGATAACATGGCAGTTTCTTTCGCTGAATATCATTTTGACTAGCAAGTGACCAAAACAGAATATAATTATTTAATTTTCATTCATGGCATCTTTAATGAAATGGTCTGTACCAGAAACCATTGGTATTGCTATAAATAAAAGTCAACAAGAATTTGTTGTCATCAGTTGGAATGTATTGCATATGATTCATGAAATAAATTATGTAAATGATTCAAGTCCAGTGATCAATCGTTATTCGATTAACAACGATTGGTCAAATGAAAAACTACGACTTAATGATATTACAAAGACATTAAGTGAACTACTAATCAAGCACTCTACTATGGAGTGTTTCATTTGTCTACAAGAAGTGCCCGGTGATTTACTGCCAATGTTACATGAAATGTTCGATTCTCATGCGAACTCAACCTTAGCAAGTAAACCAATAATGCATATACAAACTTACTCACGTAAACCGCGCATTCGAGGAAGACAAGGAAGTTCTGTCTACATTGACTCGAATGAAAGTCTCGTCACGATTCATTATAATCCAGACATCATTTCTACGGAAAAAGCAACTGGATTGGAGAATGAAAAAAAAAGTGTTCTTTGCAATGATCAAGTTCTATGGACACCCTGTCCTACTGATCCTGGTAAAGGTGCTCTTACTGTAACAACCACATCTGGTTTAAGTGTTGTGAATGCACATGTGCCATATAACAATCAAGCTGCCTCACTATTGTTGAGAAATATCTTATGGCCTGAAAATAATAATCCATTTGTATTCGTTGGTGACATAAATCGTGATTCTAAAGCCTTCATGAATATAGTCGCCAAGATTACCATTAGAAAGCCTTCCTTCAGTCTACTATTTCCTATCACAACACGCAAGCCTACTAGAGTTGGTTTACGCCCGGACGGTACTCTCTACAAGGTATGGATCGATCATTATCTCGTTTCAACATCACTCAAACATTTAGCTATATCTCCTGCAGTGGTCTGTGATGATGTCGGTGATATTTCTGATCATTATCCCATCTTACTTCAGTTCAAAAATATATAGAACCTGCAAATAAAAACACTTGATGTTTCCTATTGCCTCCTTTCCTCGCTTGATAGTTTACTACATACGTATTTATCCCAATACATCAATCCTATTACACTTTTTTTAAATATTTTCATGAAACATTTCGTAGATCAGAATTGATTGTCATGTATTCAATGCTCTATCGATACGTTACTCTCAAGAACTTGTACAACTTCATCAAATTCCACTAATTTTGAATGGCCACAATTTATTCCCTAAGTAAAATTATTAAAATACTAAGCTGACTTTTGTCCAGTAAAATTTGAATCTGTTACTCAGTACACAAATTGACTGCTTAGTGAAAATATTGAACGTTCAGTTAATTTATAGTTTCTCAGTAATAAAAATATTTACTAAATTAGATAATTCATATCTCCGTAAAAATTTTTTTTTGCAAAGTTAATAAATTGAAATCATAGTTATAAAATAAAATCGGTAAGTAAAAATTATTACTACTAAGTAATTTCAAATAAAGACTAAGTGTGATTATCTAAGATAGGAGGGTGTGGGCGGTTCCAAGGAGATAAGACCTACACCCACACCCACACCCACACTCTACAAATAAGTTATTGATGTTATTTAAATATATGATATCCAAAATCATTCACACGCTTGAACAATTACATTTAGACAATCATTAGTTGTTTGTTAAAACAGTGTTTTTTGCATGTCTCTCATATCTTATCATGTCTTCAAGTAGCAGACCAAAAGTCCGTTACGATTTAAAGGACTCACTAGTCTCCTTGCATAGTTCGACATACATTCATAATCGCGTTTCACAAATTTTCATATCCAAGTCGTGGCTTGCACGAAATTTCTGTCAAACTTTTAATAATATATCACTTCAACAATAATCGATACACTCCATTAATCATCTATCTAGGTAGTAAATAGTTTATTCAAATAAATTAAAAGAAATTTAGTATGAATTTATCAATAGAATTATGCTTCAATGTTGACTGTTGACATTGTTAAATTGAAAAATTCTTGAAGAAATATATTGATTTTTTCTAAAACAAAATTAAAGTTCAAGAGAATTTAACGAAAATTATTAATTAGTAAATTTACTCATCAGATTTGGTTGTATTTTACGAAAAACAAACAAATAGTAGAATATCAAACCGACAAGCACAATAATAAGTGCAATAAGATATCCAATATTTGGGCTCGATATAACAGGTGCAATAATAAGATAGACAGAAACTAATATCATAAAAATAATTACAGGTATTGGTACCTATACAAAAAAAACGAGATATCTTCTCGTTTATAATCTATAGAGAAAAACAAACATACTTTAATAGCTCGATAGGCTTCAGCCTTCGTAAATTTACAGCAAATTGTGGCAACAAATGTCAGTCCAAAAAAGACCCAAGCAACGAAGCTGACAAAATCGATTAAATGCTCAATATTAGTGGGAATACAATAGATAATACTAATAATAGTCTTAAAAAATAAAGGCAACAAATAAATACTTCTAAAAACATTAATAGATTTATTTAATACAAACCATGAGCATAATACTCGGTAACGGTGTTAATCGTTGTTTTTGAATACAAGAAAAAATTTTAGGTAGATATCCATAACGTGCGCCTACCATAAAATAACGACTAGAACAATAAATCGTTGCAGTGGCACTGCCCAATGCACTAAACGAAACCAGAATAGGCAATGTACGAACAACAGGACCTAACACAGCTTCTCCCCATGTCTAAAAAGATTCAACATAATTACATATGTGAATTGTTAAATTCATGCTTGGTACAAACCAGGGTCTAACTATGGGTGCATCTCGTGCTTCTGTCAGTCCAAAAATCTGAGTGAGAAAGTGAAAAGATTCGAACAAATCTAATAAATCTACTTTTTAAAAAAAATTCGCTTTACGAAAGCACACTTTAGCAATCAGATTTTGAAAAAAATATCGATAGAACACTTCCTGAAGAAGTTAGTCACAAGTTACTCAAAGTGCTACTTCAGCGTTAAAGTAAATTATGAGTTGATTAATTAATTGAGTTCGAATTTCTTTGTGCTAAAGGATGAAACGAAATCATCTTCTAAGATTTAGATCTATATTGTGGTCAAGGTTAAAGCTGTAATGCCTCGGCATTTAAATATCATCTGAGCTCTGATTGAATATGAGAATCTCCAATGCATCAGTAGTCGTAGTATAGGAAAATTATATGAAGATCATCGAAGATGATATACAAGAAAAGTTTCGCTTTTTCAATGACAATGTATTATAAACAAATGCTGTTTTCTAGTTATATATATTGTTAAGTATTTACTATGCATGATAGGCGTTTGAAATTTTATCAAGCTTTTTATCGTTCAATAAGACAAGAAAATTACATTTAATACGACAAAAATGATTACTAATGAATAAGAAAACATACTGGCAAAATCACGTGTAAATTTTTGCTTAAATTTTACTTTATTATTTGATAGAACGTCTTATCATCTATTCCTAGTCGATATATATTCATGTCTTTATTGATATATTGCATCTCAAATATAACTTTCAATGTAGATTTACTGTAAGTGACTTGTATAATAAATGGTTATTATATAGATTTATTAAGTTATCAATAAACAATACAAATTCAAATACATGAGTTTTTTAAACTTCTCTATGGATTGTTGAGTTCTAAAAATAACCTAGAGACATTTTCCAATTTTAGCGTTCTCATAGGGAAACGACAATAGCGCTCGAACGAATCTCTCCATGTGTTAAATCGTTTTTGGTCTAGAATTATGTTCTTTCGATGAATATTGATGAACGGTGAAAAATTGTAGAAGGATTTGGTTTTTCAGACCTTCGTTCTTCTAATATCGTATAATTTATTGTCTTAGTATATTCAGTGGTCTCGTTGGAGTTAAAAGACTTTTAGTAAGATCACAAAAATCTTTATATCGAGTAATAGAGTCAGGTACAAATCAAATTGAAGCTGTCAATATTAATAAGACCGCTTTGTACTTCTACTTTTTCAGACACCGAATATTAGTTTTTCGAAACATATAAATAACTGAAAAAGTGAAGAGGACACTTCCTAATTCAAACGTAAACGTATATAGGAAAAAGCGACTTTTGCATTCGGACTTCGGTGGCGTGGTGGTTTAATCGGTTGTTGCTCAGTGGCAGCGGCTAATAAATTCTTGAAAGTTTTATTACTATGGTGGTGGTGGCGGCTGCTGTATTTTTTTCCTCAAAAATTAGTAGCAGCGACGGTTCAGCCGTACGGCTTACACATCTATTCACAACTAGCATCATCGATTAGTCTTGTACATTGTGAAAGTTTCAGCTCCATTTGTTGCTTTTTTTACATGGCAACATTTTTCAGTATACGTGTCGTAAAAGTAATAGCAACGGGAAATGTTGAAATATTCAGAATGAACTAGTATCATGATTCAGGTAGTTCATTAGATTGATATTTACCATAGCTACAGCATCAGAACTAAGCAATTCAGCTTTGTTCATCACTGTGAAATAGGATATGTTGGTGAGAAGATATAGAATAATTACTGATGAAAGAGCCAGTACAATTGACAGCCATAAATTTCTATACAGAATATTAAATAACCAATGATATTGGTTTAAATTATTCTTTTTTCTTTTTGATTAAATATGATTACCTTTTCGGATTTTTAAGTTCTTCAGTCACCGAATTCAAACTTGACCATCCGCCATAGGCCCAAAGGCCTGAATAGAAAGCAAGTGAAATACGTAATGGATTTTTTGTTGTACCTATTTTAGTGTGAATAATCATGAAACAAATTATCAATCATTTGAATAAAAAAAAAAATAATTTCAATTACCATCAAAGCTATTTTCTAAATTTTCAGTATAACCTAATCAAAATAAAAGAATTCTTTTAAAAGTTATGTTTTTACTCTTTTCTATAGATCTTCAAAAACCTTGTCCGATGCGTACAAGACCACCTATTATAATCACTAAAATTGTCACCGTTTTGGATATGGTAAAAATAATATTTAGTCGATTCGCTGCCGTCACACTAATTCCATTTATAACACCGAGGATTCCTAAATTGTCAAGGATTTTCAAGTTGAAGAGAGCAAGAAATGAAAGCGAATCAATTAACAAACCGATTACAGAGATTGCCAACACTTTGATTAGTTTTAGTGGCGGACTGGGACCTATATTGATTAACTAAAAAACGCATATAGACCGATCATTTTATGTTTACTGTTCATGATTCCTGATAGAAAATATGTTCCAAATGTTAAAGAAAGAATAGCAACCATTGACGGTTCAAGAATGAATGTATTCGCCCAATTGAAGACAAAAGCAAGCACATCACCAGTACGAGCATGAATCGATCCGATTCCTAGTTTGTAGATCAATTAATGGCAAACTTCTCATGAGAAAAAACTATGCAAAACACTGTTACAACGCCACATTTTTACAAAAAAAAAATGCTCTTTATTCATTTTAATGGATTATATTTAATCCCGACGTATTCTTTTTTTTTCATCTTGGAGCGTTATATAAAAACATCATTCGAATGCACTTGATACCTTTAAATGCGATTTTCAGTATTCTTGTATTAGAAAGAAGTCATTGTTTTTTACCAATATGTTAAAGCACAGTATTTATACTGTCGTTTTGTTGTAACAAAAAATGAGCTATCATACTATTAACATTCTTGTTTTTAGTGAAATCACTCTTTTATGGAATAAAAAGTTTCTAAATTATACACGAACTTTTCGTCGTATGAAACTCAGAAATACATCACTTAAACAGAACTACTCTTGAGATAATCATACTACTATAATGTAACAGAATGTATTTGAATGTAAGAAAAGAAAAATAAATAGTTATATAAAACAATATGATTTGCAAATGAATAAAATTAGTTTATATTAATTAAAATAATCTCTTGAGTAAGTTAGAAAGATTATAAAGCACATGATACTGAGGTTAGAAACTGTGTTAAATCTTTTCCTATGTAACCATTAATCGTACAATGCTTTTTCAAAATTCTGAGCAGAATTTCCAACTATCCACAGTTAGAATATCGTATATTTACAATGAGCTCGAAAATTTTTAAAAAAATCTCTACTCGACAAATAACGCACTTTAGCATGCATACGTTTTCGTTCTCTTCAAGCATAATTTATAGGTAATACCGATAGTAACCATTTTTTGTTTTTCTTGTTCTTCTGTTTTTTTTTCTTTATTCTATGTCAGTAACTACTGTAGTTTTGTGTTCTTTTTCGAGAGCCAAATCAATGCATTTAGAAAGTACCTATCGATTTCTCTTCCCATATGAAGGTTTTTCATTTGGGCTAAACTCAATCGTTTTTTTACTATCTTCAAAATGATTTGTCTGATAGATGATGCTCATCAAAATATGTATATATCTCAAAAACATTGAGGGAAACTCAACAGAAAAAAAACAATTACTTCAATAAAAACATAACACGACGAGAATATTTATTTGATGGAAATAAATAGTAAATTTTTAGTTACACATATCATATCTTCTTGTCTTTAGATAAAGTACTAACGAATTAAAGCAAACTAACACGAAGACATGCTACAATTGAAGTTTCGAAATCATGTTTGAATTATCATAATCTATTAGCATTTGTAATTTGATCAGATTCGTAATTCTACAGACGGCTTTGAATTACATTTTATGATTATGAAGTTAGCAATACTCATATTGTGATTTTCTTTTCTTTTTTTCTATTCATTTATTCATATTAATAATTTTATCTTGATTTCTTAATAGTTTCTTTATTCAAAATTCTAAAGATTTCAAGAACGATATGTCAAAGTCAATATTGTAAAAGTCGAGATGTAGTGAACATATTCAAAATACTAAGTATAAATCAATAGAAAGATAATTTTTGCGTCAATATTACCTCGAATGTTACGACGCTGTCTGACATATATATGTTTTCAGAAGTCTTCAGAATTTTCAATTGAGAAAACATTCTATTAACTTATACATATAGGATGACATAATTCATATGAAAACTGAGAAAAGATATAGTATAGTAGATTGTTTTCATTTTTTTTAAATGAAAGACGTATTCAAACAAAATATTTTACAAATTTCTCGTTCATGAATTCAAAATAAAATGCTTTAACAATTTCAAAATTACCTTCTCGCATATAAACTAATTCGGAACCACTCAGCGGTATAACGGTACCTATTTCTGCATAGCACAATGCACCTATAATAAAAATATGTATTTAAAGAAAAAGATTAGGTTTTTTTTTAACTCAAAATCTCACCCAATATAGAGATGAAACCACATAATGTCCATATTACCAAACATAATCCAACCGATTCTGTCTCTCTTAGAACACCTTTCGGAGAAATAAATATTCCCGAACCTGATATAGAAAAATATTTCACAAAAAAAATAGTTTGGAATTAATATATCATATTTACCAATGGTAATACCAAGTACGAACGAGATTCCAGAAAACAGACCGAGATGTCGTTTGAGGGCTTTCTTTTCGATAGGCACTATTTCATTTCTATCAGAATCTGTTTCTTCGATTGATCTACTAATTGAATTTATCTCTTGCTCTTGATTAGATGTTAAATCCGTATGAGCATCCGAAGAACTAGGTTCGACACTATTTGCCTAAAGATATGAGAGACAAAAACAAAAACAACGTCTCTTTGAATCATCTCTTGTAGAGTCTTTTTTTTTTCATTACCTGAACAAACATATCGTTGTTATTATTGTTGTTACTTATTTCTATTCGTATTATTCGTCAAATGTAACTAGGATTTGTAGTCTATTCTTTTTTTAATCCAATATTTAAATCTCAAAATAAGCAATAAAAATAAGAAGAAAAACATTGGCATTTAGTAACTAACAAAATGACGACTAACCGAAGCGGCTTCTTATGGACTGGATCATGTGAGAGATAATAGTTTATTTGCATCTGTCAATCATATGACAATTCGTTGACTATAGTATATGTGCAGAATCTATCGTAAAACAATGAAAATTCCCATGAACGGAGACATAACAGAAAGAATTTAAAAATAAATAGTATCAATTAAACATATCTAGAGATTTAAAATATGAGTACGACTGGGTTGGCTTCTGTTGGGCGTTAGAGAGAGCAGAGAATAATTCAAGCAATTTCCTATTGAATCTACTCCTACTCTAGAAATAAAGAAGGCTTTCATAGGTTATGCGTTATTACGAAACACACAGACCAAATTTTCAGAATTACTGTAGGCAATATAGCAATGAAAAGGGTATGGGTTGTGTATGTTAGTGTCTTCTCTTAACTCACACTCTAGGGTGTGGATGTCTGTTACTGTCGCGTGACTGTTACACAAACCCACACCCACATCCAACCGAAGCATGCTGACGATAATTTGTGCCAAACACAACTGTATTTAAACCTTTCCTCAGTTTCTAAGGAGTTCTCGGAAGATCTCTGGAGAAACTATCAGACATATGGCTTAAGAAAATTTCATTATGCGAGAGTCAATGACTTTTGCACTTTACTGTATATAATATTCTCTTTCGTTTCTGAAAATGAGTACGAGTGTTAATGGTTGTAGACATGAGTGTGAATATGAAGTGAAAATATGCTTACCAGTAGACGCATGTCTATAAATTTACACAAAGGCTAGCACTAACCCACGTACTCGTTTATTACCTTTAACTGTATGTGACTGATGATAATCATCGTATTCGAATCTACGTTCATAGTCCGCAGTTTCAATCATCATCAAATTAATTTAGTCGTTTTCAACTATATACATATTGTCGTGCTTTACATTTTACTATGTTATCATTTTCATTCTACTAGGTTGTTAAGCCCTTTAAATTTCATTGGATCAGAGACTTATTTTTGACTGTGATAAATAAATAAAAGTAATAAAGTTTTCTTCTAATTACTATTGATCTAACGGTAGAATTGCGTTGTTAGTCCTGCTGACTTCATTTGTTAATTTGTAATTTTGACGACAAAGACAGAAATATTCTTGTCAACAAAAGGATCATCCATATATAAAGCCAAAAAAGAAAAATTTTCAGTTTTTTTTTTACGATAATTGAAAAGATATAGCTGTAAATGATACTCGTATTCTTCAGTCACATTGTCGTTCACAAATACCTTCAAAATAAAATTCGGAATTAAATGTTCAATTTTGAATCAATGTTATGATGTTCCAAAGCATTAAGATATTTTATTGAATGTATACGTTCCTTTAAACAAATAAATATTTGGTACAATGTTTATATATAAAGGATGAAGAAATATCAAACACTTTTTATTTCATTCATACAGTATACTCGATATTTATAATTTATCCGATAAAAATATTGCTTGTCTGTACAAATGAAATTTGTATTTCTCATATTATCTTTTTCAACGATAAAATACATTTGAAAAATGTATTAAAAAAGTTTCATTTACTTACTCAGTCATAATATGATAAAAGAAGATGCAACATTTCGGTCTAAACGACAACATACGAGATTTCTAGTCGTAATTTGTCCTTATTTTTTTTTGTGTGTGATGTATGGTCAATTTTGAGTTCAATCGAAGCTCATCATTTTTAGTATTTCTATTCAGGCAGAGTGAATATATGACATAGTTAGTTGATATTTTGATGAGATAATATATATATATGTGACAATGAGGGTATATATGGGAGAAAATCAGAACTCAGGTAATGGAAACTGTCTTGAGATATTAAAGTACATTAGAAAAAAAAAATCATGTCTCTATACATTACCATCCAGGAGACGTCTAGAGAGCCAAGTTGTAAAACAGGGCATTTACGCGTATAAAACTTTTTTTTTGGAATATACTTCAAGCTACAGAGCTCGGTTTGCTTTTATTTGAAAGAGAATCTTGAGGGTGTGGGTGTATTCTTTTGTAGCACTTATATCCACATCCTCTCAAGCATTGTGTAACTGTAGAAGCAGATCTACCTTTGATTTCTAGAAGAAAAGTTCAATAAACTTGGCGAACATATTCTATTCAGTCACCTTTTGAGACTTGCAGTGGATGCGATGCGTGAAATATGTTGAGAAAAATTAAATCTTTGTTTTTCATTAACTTTCATTCATCAAATATGTCAAGCGACCAAATTCTATCTTCAACCTTTTCTCTTTATTCTTTCTTCGATCATTACGTCAATGTAAGAATAATGGAAGCTTTCAAATGTTGTAGGGTTGCCTTTCGAGCAAGCAACAAAAAATAACAAGAAAAACAGAACAATGCGGGTGATTACCTCGCTTCATACTGCACAAGAATGTAGTAACTCATTTTTTAGTTTTTTCATTTAGTTGACAATAACACCTTGGAGACGGTGTACACTAATTGTGAGTACGTAAAATATTACAACTAACAGTCTAATACAAACTTCATAGATAGATCTATTTGTTCTAAAGAATAAACTAGGAACGATATTGGGTAAATCAATAATATTTCTATTCAGGCAGTACCATTATCAATGTCACTAATCATGGCTTGAGAATGGATCAGAAATATTAACGATAGACTCAGACTTGTAGCTAATATTGATTCAATCAGTTCCATTTTGCAGATAATCGAATATGTGGTAGAATAATAACGATTACAAAATGTTGCATTCGTAGAATTCCTTAAAAATTTTTCCAAAAAATGCATTTTTGAAGAAATATTTGGAAATAAAACTGGTACAACTTTGCCCAGCATACCTACTTCATGATGTCTCATTCGAATCTGTTTTATCCACCGCAACTGGAAGAGTTCCATCGATTTGCTCATGACTCATGGATCCTTATCCAAAATCACACAGAAATGTAGTTCACAAAGATCCAGGTAATCCAGCTTCCGAATATGCATTCTATTGTCTATGTCTACTTTCGCGTCATCAGGCACTTGTAAAGTATGACGTTGTTAGCGTCAATAGAGGTCATCCTATTACTGCTGACTACTGTCTTTATTAATCATTGGTTTCTTTCTTGCTCTCATATCAGTTATTTTTCTATATTCTCTCTCTCTCTGATTCATATCAGTGATTAATGTTTTTTTTTCTCTCCTAATTGTTGTTTTTATTGATTATCTTTCTCCTTTCTTTCTTCTTTCATCATTATAATATTTTGTTCTATTTTATTAGCAAAACCTCATCACAATACGAATATACGGTAGGCGTGCTCTTTCTTTTTCGCATGAGATTTCTCATTGCCTTGTCGGACTAGCATCTAGATTAAGTTCCCTTAATATCAAAATCGGCAATTTTCGCCGATTTGTAGAAGAAATCACGATTATGCAAATAGGACTAGAATAAAAAAATAAAAAAATATCTCTGCATCGCTACAGTCGAATTGACTGAATTTTTGGTTAGTGACAGAAGATTATTGATGGTATCATGAAAGTAATTTTATCAATTATTAAGTAAAAAAAAAAGTACATGCGTAATGTGTTTCATAACTAATTTTGTCTTGTCATTTAAGACAATGATAAAAACACATCAAAACAAACCTGATAAATAATTTTGTATTGATGCACACAAAACAAGTTTTTTACACTAATTAGTTTCAAAATCAACGATTACAAAGTTTCGAGCTTTATGGAATATTGCTTCTTTTTTGCACGAAAGTTAGTGTTTTGATGGTCAATGTGCCCTAATTGTGTATTTTACTTATACAACATGAATTTCAGCATTTAAATTAACTAGTAGTTTTGAAAACTTGTTTTGTGTAAATCAATATAGGATTATCCATAAAGTTTGTTTTGATTTATTCTTATTATTTTCTTAGATGATAAATCAAAATTATTTATGAAAAGTTATATATATGTATTCTTTTTTTTTTTACTTGATAATAGGCAAAATTGTTTTCATGATGTCAACAATAGTATTTAACAGTAGTATGTGGTTATATTAGTTTCTCGAAAAAAATATTGTAATCATAAGGCTACTGATGGGCCACCCTTGAATATTTTCGATGATCTGGTCTAGTCATAGCATTTGGATCTACGACTATGATGACACTTCCATGTGTCTGCAATAAATAGTACAAAAACAAAGTTTATTTTTTGTCTTAGATCAATATTAATTAATCAGTTTGACAATCAGATGATCTCAATAGAAGAAAAAAGAAACATATGATTGAATGAATATTAACCGAAATAACTTGACTCGAATAACTTTTTCGACATGTGAACAAAAATATTTAACTCTACTGTAAACTCTAAAGTTCCGTACAACTACTAGATCAGTTAGAAAAATGAAATTTCCTAATAGCATTTGTCATGTTAAAATCATAGGAAAGAGCATTGACTTCATAAACTTTCGTCTAATTACAGGCATCTTTTTCTCGAATTCGATAAAGATCAATGATGATGTTGCTCGATACATACTCTCAAAATATTGTGTTCAGATCAGAGACTGAAACGAATAGATGAATAGTAATGTAGATTCGATTCGATTCGATTTAGATTAGATTTAGATTAGATTTTAAATATGTAATTTTACATACTATAAATTTTTTCGAGATGTTTTCTTCATGGCAATGATAATTGTCTATCAAATATACTAGAATTTATATATTTGTACGTGTCAAAATATGCACGATACAAAAACCAGCATAAGTTCGAATTTTTTTTTTGCAATACACACACCGTTTGATACTTCAGGAAAGTCGAACATTTTTGCAAGAGAGAGTCGTTAACTACCTACTACCATTAGACAGTACTTGAAAACGAATATT